GGTCTCCCTGGAGCCTTCTCTTCTCCAGGCTGAACACCCCAACTCTCCCAGCCTGGCTCCAGAGCTGCTCCAGCCCTCCCAGCACCTCTGTGGCCTCCTCTAGACCCCCTCCAACAACATCTTCCCTCCCAAATCCCCAGGGAGCACCTGTAGACTCCTGCCATCCCCCAGCAGTGAGGGTGGCCACACTGGTGTGCAAAGCCACCTCTGCTCACACTGACCCTGCCTCCCACTTCATTTGGTGACCCTCATTCTTCTGGGGCCGTCACTGTTCTGTGGAGCCCCCAGCCTGTCCCCACCATCCTCCCAGGGCCCCTCAGGCTATGAGAGGGGTCCCCCAGGCCCCTCAGGGGTCCCCCATTCCCTCCCTCTTGTCCCTGTGCTGGCCTTACAGAAGGTCCTGCTGCTCTAAGCATCCCACACCTCCCTCCCCACGTCCCTGTCCCCGCGCAGGACCCTCCCGTGGTGGCACAGGGCTCGTGGGAAGGGTTTCCTCTGCTCTGACCCATCCACTTCTTCCCCACCTTGCAGGGAGCAGTCGGTGCTGCTGGTCAACCCCTGCCTGGGGGACAAGCTGCTCTACGGGGCCACGGACCAGCTGCTGGAGTCCTACGTGGCGCCCGAGGAGGAGCGAGCGCAGCCGGTGCGCTGGGCACTGCCCACCCCCCAGGAGCAGGGCAGGGGCATCCGCCTGCTGGTGCAGCACAGCAAGGCAGGACGGGGACCTGGGGGAGGGTGACGTGGGTGCGTTGGGTGGTTGGGCTCATCCCGAGGAGCATGAGCCTCCAGCAAGGCCACGGGCTGGGGCAGAGAGTCGTGGAAGCACAGAATCGGGGAACTAGGCAGGTTGGAGGAGCCCCTTGGGGTCACCGAGTCCAAGCAGCATCCTGCTCCACCTCACCCACCAGCACCACATCCAAACAGCCCTTCAGCCACCAGCACCACGTCCAAAGGGCCCTTCAGCCACCAGCACCACGTCCAAACAGCCCTTCAGCCACCAGCACCACATCCAGACAGCCCTTCATCCACCTTCATCCACCAGCACCACATCCAGACAGCCCTTCATCCACCTTCATCCACCAGCACCACATCCAGACAGCCCTTCACCCACCAGCACCACATCCAGACAGA